TATAAAATTGACATGCTGTATCACCAATTAAGAAAACTGGATTTGGGGAATGTTTAAATCAATTCAAGCACAACCACAGAATAATTTCAGTTGACTTGAAAATTATAAAACACCAAAACTAAAGAGATTATGAATACTCATAATGGATTTAACCAAGACAACTGTAAAGACTGAAGAAAGAAGCATAGCCAATATACCTCCAAAAGTTCAGAACCACATGGAGGACTTGTTCAAAGAGTGTGTTTATCGTATTCAAGAAAAAAATCCCATATGCACTCATTAATTGGGTAAAAAGATGAGCAAAGCCTTAATTGCAATTTAAAAATAGTTTTTCCATCTTCCAAATAATCCAACCTCTCCTACAATTAAAAGATATGGATTAATAAATAATCATCTAACAAAGTAAAATGTAACCATCTATGTGATAATGAAGCTAGGCTAGTTTTATTTATAACAATCCATTGAAAAATTGGAATCTTAAACACAACGAAAAAGAATTAGTTACATAATAGGGTGTGAATATCATTTTATAATTTACAATGCAGAAAGGTTCAAACAAATTAATTTTTTCTTGTGACCAGAGGTTAAAACATGTCAAAATAAAAATACCTTTCCATTTTCTTGAAGATACTGTGGAACCAGTTCTTTCATAATCAATAGAGAAATTTCTGATCGCAACCTGAGTACAGAACGTAGTTCAACAGGGTGAAATCATTGAATGATGTAATGAGGAAAAAAATGAAATGAAGCAAATAACAAAAGCATGAGAAAAAGTCATGTCTAAATTACTAGAAAATATACATACTGTTATGGCATTTAGTTGGCATCAAAGAAGGCTGCTAGGACCTAATACAGACTAGAAAAATGCTATATTCTCAGTTCCTTTATGACAAAAGCTGGTGGCATTTTATTTTTATTTTATTAAATTTTAGGGGATGGGCAATAAAAGCAATTATCTGGTACAGATAATTATTAGTCTCATTACCAAATATTAATTGCAACTGCTTTAGAAAAAAAGGCTAAAGGATAAATAAAATTGTTCCCAATTCAACCCTTCTCTATACCCTACTCAAGTGTGACCTGTACCAAAATATTAAATTTCTTGAGGTATAAACTATAAACAATCATATATGATTTTTATGATTCAATAACTTCATACACTAAGCTTAGGTAATGAGAGTTCTTAATGTTAAATACCACCTCTGTTGTTTTTAATAAGATTTTGTCAAACTTATCGGAATAAACTAGGTAGCATTTCACTGTAAGGTGAATGAAGACTCACATTGATATCATACAAGTACCCACAGCATAAACCAGGAAAGTAACCAACCACTAGAATACCGAATAGGTGATTATATTTCTCCCCCTTTTTATTTCCAATACCATGAACTACCATACCAATCACTCCAGTAGCAGAACAAATAATGTAAGTTAATAAATCATCAAGGAAAGAAACAAAACAAAAGATGACAAACATAAGGCAGTTGCATACCGTGCATGGGTGGATAATGGAAGTGCTGCATATCCAATTACTACCTGCCAAGTAAAAGAACAGAACTACTTAGGATTGCAATAAAAGATAGAATGAGAGGAG